AATTAAGAAAGTAGAAAACTTCAAAAATTTTAATTTCCTACTTATGAAAGGTAGCGAAATTTACTTATCGAATGACCCTCATATTTTACACTCCACACATTTTACCATAACAATCGTATACCAAAAATTTCATTCCGATACCCTCAAAAAATCCCTAAAAAATTTCCACAATACTCCCCATTTCACTAGCCCACCAACAAACACTCACCTTGATGTGTACCTTTATGAACGTTCTTCACGTAATCAGTCTTCGGCTGCTGTACCACGTTATGCAGATTCCCATTATCACCCACGTGTCTCACGAAAGTATTCTTCAAACCAAATTTTCCCCGGTCCTTCTCCAAATTCCTCCTACGTTCCGGAACAGAAACCAAGACGATCACAGGCCTCGCGGTACTCGAGTTTCCGTCCTCCTGAGTCTGCGTCCTAATTCTCGACTCATCCGAGCTCGACACACTCGTCTCTTCCGGTCTCGTTGTTCTATCCATATTATTCGCCGTGGCAAATACTTCGCGACCAACAGCTACTTCAAAAAGCAACAAAAAAATCCGTCGAGAAATACAATTCTCACCCAAACATCAATTTCTCTTTCCAGTAAATTTCTACGAAGTTGAAATATTTGCTCGAACCGTACTACGTCCTCAAACTACGAGACTTTCGACCAACAGTTACATCACACCACGAATAAATATCTCATTTTTCACGTAATCCTACGGTTTTTCTCACCTTCCGTGCTGTTTTCGAACATTTTCGAGAACGATTCTTCCTCGTTTATCTGAAAATGTATGGTAAAGTTCACAGCAACGCTGTTCTTCTCGTTCCCCGTTTCTCTCGTTTCTGTTGCATCGTCGACGATACATCGACCTGTCTCAGAGTGACACTTGTTCGATGAATAATTCTTACAGTCGCACGGAAACGCGCATTCCGGTCCCCAGTAATCACCAGGACACGACTCGTTGCACCTGAAGCAAAAACGGTAATCACGTGTTTACCATGCGATGGTAAACGCGCGTGTGCCATTATCAGGCCTCTTATTAGGCGAGTGTTTCAATCAACAGGTTGTTTCGAGTACGTTTCTGCGTTGGGTTTGCTAATCAGTATGATTACGTTCGCGGAGTTTTATCGGGAGCGTTATTTATGATAGGTGAGACAGATTTTTTTAACCCTTTCGTCGCTGGTCGCTGGAATATCGATAAGAAAATTTCAGGTGAATTTGGGGCAGGTTTGATCGTTGGATAAGTAAGAAATTTGGAGAATGAGTTGAGAAAGGATTGTGAAATGTCGAAAGCAAACAGTTTTACATGAGTTCAATTGGACAAAGTTAAACACATCATCATTAGTTGTCATTAATCAAACGTGTTTTTATACAGGTGTTATTACACCTGTCACTCGTTAAAAGAACCTCGTACAAACTCATTACTCAATCCAGTCGTTTTACCCATAATAGCATTGTAAAGGTGACATGTGAGAAAGAATGGGAACTTGTCGAAAGATGAATTCTTTTCGTTCTGTCGACAATTTTTTTTTTTCGCACTTCTCGTTTATAATGTCTTTGGTAATTGGTTTTCTAGTAGGTAGGGTAATTAGGAAGGGAGTAATTATCGCGTGCATTATTATTTCATTAAGGAAGAAAAAGGTACTTTAGATATTTCGTTGTCACAGCGGTTGTTTTCTCTCGGTGACAGAGAGAAATCTACGTATTACAGATGCGGTCTTACATTTGTCCACGTAATCCTGGTGGGCACACACAGTGTCCATTTACGGGATTGCAAGACACGTCCTCAGCGCAGTTGCATTTCTCTTTGCACTCGGAGCCCCACGTGCCTGGTGGACATGCTGCGAATAAAATGGAGCGGATACCGGTGAATCGTGGCGTTATTAACGATCGGGATCGCGAAATTTTCACTTCTTTCTGATAATTCAATTTTTGCTTTTCTTCGATAGTGAAATTTTCATTTTGTTCTGATAATTGCATCTTTATTTTTCTTTGAGAGTGAAATTTTCCTATTTCCCTCTGATACTGAAATTTTCATATTTCTCTGATAGTGAAATTTTCCTATTTCCCTCTGATAATGAAATTTTCATATTTCTCTGATAGTGAAATTTTCGTTTCTCTCTGACAATGAAATATTTCCTATATTTCTCTGATCATGAAAGTTTCGTTTTTCTCGGATAATGAAATTTTTATTTTCCTCTGATAATTAAATTATTACTTTTCTCTGACAGTGAAATTTTCCTACTTTTCAGATAATAAAACTTTCATTTTCCTCTGATAATGAAACTTTCGTTTTCCTCTGATAGTGAAATTTCCATTTTTCCCTGAGATTTTCAGCGAAATCCTTAATTGCAACGTACACTTGGCAATTACTTTCTCTTTCCACCCTCTTTTCCTTGAGAAACCGATATTCGACGTGCAAGTGACGTTCCAAACCGCGAAAGGGAATATCGAATCACCGATTTCAGACTCGCGTGAAAATTATTCACTGCCTCGCATGCGTGTTCCTCTGATCATGGAAGGTCGATTTGTTTCATCGAGCGTGAAATATACATGCATCTTGTTCGTTAAGTTTCGTACTCTTCTCGCGTGGAGAATAAGTACATACGTAAGGTTACACGGTTTACTTTACTCAGGAAAAAATTCGAAGATAGAAAAGATCAAAATTGTTGAATTAAGATGAATTAAGAAAAATGAAGATCCTTACCGGTGTCACAGTTGTCGCCTTTGTAGCCAGGTATACATTGGCACTGGTTCGGAGAGATGCAAACACCTGACAGACATTTTTCGCAAAATGGCACACACCTGATGCCAGTCTCTTCGTCGTCGGATGAGATCACTTTGTAGCCTTCGCAGCATTCGTTCACGTCCCTGCTCTTTATCTCTGTCTGCCAATGACATTTCGAATTAAAGTATTTACCGGTTAAAATTTCTTTAATGCAATATTCTTATTTGGTAGTAAAGGTAATTTTCATACAAGACCGGTTTCAATATTGCGGGAGCCTTTGTGTAACGTGAAACTTTGGGTAATTTGTCGAATATGGTTTTGTTCGACATGGTTTCGTTTAATAAGACACGAATTTTGGTGCTCCAAGAGTTACCTGAACTTAGAAATTATTGGATTTTAAATAAATAATTTTTGATCCTGTGGAGCACATGTCTATTTAAATTATTAAATCTACTGTGCTCAAAAATTACTAATTTTTGCACTCAAATTATTGAATTTACTGTGCTCAAAGATTACTAAATTTTTGCCCTGGAATTATTAAATTTACTGTGCTCAAAATGACTAAACTTTACGCTCAAATTATTAAATTCACTGTGCTCAAAAATGACTAAACTTTACGCTCAAATTATTAAATTCACTGTGCTCAAAAATGACTAAACTTTACGCTCAAATTATTAAATTCACTGTGCTCAAAAATGACTAAACTTTACGCTCAAATTATTAACTGTATTAAAAACAGAAGGAGAAAATGAAAGTTCTTCCTTGGGAATCTCTTAATTTAAACAGAATCTATTCACTTAAACGAGCAGTTTTCTCGAATGGGCCCATCTAACCGTGAATTCAATAAACGTCCAAGCTGCAGGCTGCACGATATTCGGGAAAACGATTAGGGAAGAAAAAGTAGGCCGCGCGAGCCATCGAATAAGGTCGTTCTGGCACCGGTGCTATTGGACCTTTGGAAAAGATCCCAACTTTCTTAAGGTGGCCATCTAGAACGAGATGCCAATCGAGAAGCAAGGCAGCTGGAAACGAAAGTAAGAGGAGAGGACGCCTGTAAACGTGTAACGGTTTCGTTCGTAATCCGTCGTAAGTGGATACGCGCGAGAAAACCGACGTCCACCACTGTAAATTACACGTACCTACTACCTTAATACTTCTCTCTACTTCTTCCTATGTACATAGTCGCGTTCTCCGCTTTTGCTCGGACGTTCGATGGATCGTTTTACCTGATCGTGTATATACGCGCCTAACCGTAATCCTTTCATTTTTCCTGCATTTTTCCTTGTCCCTGTTCAAGCTCTCCTTAGTTGAAAGGTAGAGAAGGAGAGAACATCGAGAGAATGAGAGAAAATCGAGAGTGAGGAAATCGAGAGTGAGAACTTTGAGAGAAAGAAAGAAAATCGAGAGAAAGAGAGAAAATCTAAAGAAAATCGAGAGAAAGAGGGAAAGTCGAGGGAAAGAAGGAAAATCCAGAGAAATAAAGAAAATCGAGAGAAAGAGGGAAAGTCGAGGGAAAGAAGGAAAATCCAGAGAAATAAAGAAAATCGGGAGAAAAAAGGAAAATCGCGAGAAAGAAAGTAAATCAAGAGAAGGAAGGAAAATCGAGAGAAAGTCTAGAAAATCGAGAGAAAGAGAGAGAATCGAAAGGGGGAAAGAGAGAAAATCCAGAGAAAGAGAGAAAATCTAAAGAAAATCGAGAGAAAGAGGGAAAGTCGAGAGAAAGAAAGAAAATCGAGAAAAAGAGGGAAAATCTAAAGAAAATCGAGAGAAAGAGGGAAAGTCGAGAGAAAGAAAGAAAATCGAGAAAAAGTCGAGAGAAAGAAAGAAAATCGAGAGAAAGAGGGAAAGTCGAGAGAAAGAAGGAAAATCGGGAAAAAGAGGGAAAATCCTGAGAAAGTCCAGAAAATCGAGAGAAAGAGAGAGAATCGAAAGGGAGAAAGAAACTCGAGAGAAAGAGAGAAAATCCAGAGAAAGAGAGAAAATCGAGAAAAAGGGGGAAACTCGAGAGAAAATCTAAAGAAAATCGAGAGAAAGAGGGAAAGTCGAGAGAAAGAAGGAAAATCGCGAGAAAGAACGAAAATCGAGAGAAAGAGAGAAAATCGCGAGAAAGAAAGAAAATCGAGAAAAAGGGGGAAACTCGAGAGAAAGAGAGAAAATCGAAAGAACGACAATTTTAATTAGTATACTTTTGGTATTTAACACCGCCCGATTGCTACGTCACATTTGGAAGACCGTGGTGCTCGTAAGGTCGCAATTATTCATAGATATACCTACATAGACACGAGACACGGCTGCTAGACATTGAAATGAATTATTTCGGACCCCTTTGGAGCTCACGTGTAAATTTAATACGCCAATCAAACTACGAGCAGCTAATTTAACCAGACATTTAAATACAACTGGTTAAACTAGTCAGCTGACCGTCTGCGAAATGTCAATACAAAATGTAAATGAACTGAGATGCAACTCTTCGTTGCTTAAATAAGGGAGAAACGACGTCTCCGATTGCGTGTATTTAACGAAACAATAGCCTGGTAGAGATTGGTATATCTGATACTTTTGCATGTCATACCGTCGCGTCGTTCATCCTTGTTGCGCTCCTTCCCGGAAGAAATATTCGCGCGTGTTTTCTCTTCGCGCGGCTGACACTATCGACAGATCGTACGGGATGATAAAGTCGATTAACGTAGACCGGTGACGCCATCGATTCCGCCACGTCCCAGCAATGTTGCAATTAGTTTTATCTCTGTTTCTCTCGCCGCGACTTGGCAAAAGAGGAGGAACTCGTTATGCAAGTAAATGGCTCGCGGATTAATCTACGCGAGTCGGTTATTACGTGTGAATGGACGCGAGTGAAGGATTCATGTGTGTCCTAGGTGTAGGGTAAAAAAAGAAAAAAAAAAAGTCTCTCTCTCTCGAGCAACGTTTGAAAATGGAAATCGAGCGGGTTTCTACGTCAGATAAATCATTGCAGTATCTTTCGCTATTCGTAACGAACCGCTTCTTTTTAAACCTTTAATAAACCCACAGAGATAGGGAGAGAGAAATATATATGTTCTCTAGAAACTAATGAAGAAGTCACAGCTTTCACGTTGTTAGACGAGACAAATGCGTCATCGTGAAATTCCGTCGTTGATAGGAGATTCACTAATGTGTCAATTAACGATATCATAGAGCTGCGCGATGGATCTCTTTCACAACCGTCCCTGTCCAACCAGTCAAAGTCCACTTATACGACGCAACAACGTTCGAAACATGTATCGACGAAGTGGTTAGATTTAATCAGAGCCATTCCACGAATCGGGAAATATGTATCCGTTTTCATAGATCATTCGAACGATCTCATGCATCGAGTCGACGCACGTAATCTCTCAACGTTGTACGATTTCCGTCTTTCTTGAAAGTTTTACCCATAGTGGTAATATTATGTATCGCGTGTGTGTTTTCATTCCCTCGCGCCGCTCTTACAATTCATGTCTTTTCAACGTAGCTAGTTTGTAAGATTTTCTGTGGTATATATGTATATGTACCTTTAACTTATACTCTAGATATGGTTTAAAGTTTCTCTCCGTAGTTACGAGAGAGTACATATATCAACCTCTGACCAATTTATACAAGAGAAATTCCTAATTAAGTTCCGTATAAAGAGAAGGAAATTCTTTTTCCGAGTGGTTTTTTCTGCTTCTGCAATTCAGCGAGGGAAATGTCTGATAAAGATATTTTCAAATGACAGTCGTTAAAGTTGCAATCGACGCGGTGGCATTGCACGCGGTATAATCTCGCACTGTCTAACACGCTTCCTTTCCGGACGTGTTATTCACGCAATTCTGCACGAGGATGAGGCTTTTTCCTATTGAAAATTTACTTTTTGCGTGAGTTACGACTGTACGAGGCACACGCCAATTTTTCGTGCACCAAATTGAGACGAATTCGTAATGGAACGAGGTAGAAATTCAGATAACTTTTTGTATGGGTAATATGAGATATTTTATGGTGCAAATTGGGGTGATCTTCACTGGAAATTTACAAACTCAACTTAATAAGTTTTTTACAGAGTAAACTGTGATGATAAGTACCGTAGTAGAGTAGAGATGGAAATTCAACTGTAATAGAAACCAAAGTAAATCAGAGATAATCTTGACCTAATTAATCGTTCTTTTTTTCAATTCTAAACTAAATTTGTGAGAAATTAAAGTGGAAAATGACCATTCGACTCGAAAGTTCGAAAGAAAAATCTGAAATGGAAATTACAAAGCGACGATAAATAATTTTAGATTATCGGGGAATCGAACTCGGGGCCCTCAGACTGACAAGCAAAGACACTACGCGCTCAGCCACCGCGACCACAGAGAATGTCTTCTTATCTTGTTACTTATCTCGGTACTTAGTATGTATCACCTCGAATTTACCTCAGGTGTATATATATCAAATTACACCGTGCAGATTAGCTAATTGCCGGGTTTTACCATTCTTTGTGCTGCAACGAACGAGTAGAAAACGTTCCTGTTAACTGTGTTGCGCAACTGGCTGACAGGTTCGATCGGTGGGAAGAATAAAATTAATTAAGACAGGTCAAGATTAACATGATTAATAATGGCGACAGTAATTGTGACAATATTTATGATGTAGCCAGGCAGCAGAAAGTGGCACAGACGCGACAACTGGAGAGACTTTACGTAACACTTGTTTCTTCCTCCGGAGTCCAATTAAATAATGGCTTCTCACCATTTTCTACAGATTCACGAGAAGTCGATTTAATGGCTCGTTTCGTTGTCCACAGCTATCGATTCTCTTTCTTCCTTTTTTTTTCCAAGCACGTAATTGCCTAAAAGTTGTGCAATTAACGGGTGTTGTTCCTTTTTATACGTAAAAGAAAACGTCGACTGGCCTCGAGATATCGATTACTGTCACCACGGTGTGGCCGTTATGTCGCCGTTCTTTCTTCTCTTACGTATTCCCCCTCGTGTTTGTTTTTTTTGTTTCACCTGTATCGAACGTTTCCAAGTGTTACACAGATATTTTCTAGCTGTTTCGGAAAAAAATTCCAAGATAACTGTGCCTGTTTCTTTCTGCGTTTTGACACGTCACCCGACAAGGGACACGGTTTACGCGTCGTAGCTCCACTTTGAAACGCGTTCAAGGCTCCCCACTCGCATTGTC